TCTCTCTCTCTCTCTCTCTCTCTCTCTCTCTCTCTCTCTCTCTCTCTCTCTCTCACCGTTTTGCCGCCGCCCGCTCCCTGCCTTTCCTATGGCCTTCCCGTTCAACCTCCGCACTGTTTCGCCGCCGCCCGCCTTTCCTACAGCCTGCCCCATTCGGCCTCCGCACCAGTTCGCCGCCCGCTCCCCACATGGGCCCTGGGCCTGTTTCGGCCTTTCCCAAGTCCCCGGGGGCTCGCGTGGGACGCTCACGCGAGTATTAGAGAAGAGAAGACCATGGTGCCATTGTCCTACAGTCCCCAGTGGTCAGATACACAGACAATTGCAATGTAAAGGCAAGGTCCACGTACAATGCAGGCAGAGATGCGGGATGAAGGGTGAAACCACGTACCGGAGTTAAATCAGCGGTCCCTCGTTGCTACTTGTAGGACCCAAATTGTAAAGCTTCCTTCCCTGGTAAAGTTATCCTCCTCTGGATCTAGGCAGGGAAGATCCACATCAAGCTGAGGGGCAATTGGAAGAAAGACCCAAGAGCCTAGCTCAGTGGGTATACCGTCGAACTGTTGAAATACAGACCCATGTTTGAACCCGGACGATGGAACTTGATGAGTACAACCAAATAATTCTGAATTGCCTGGGGCCGGTCAGCCCAATGATGATATATCAAGACTGTCTCCCTCTAATTAAAAAAAAAAAAAAAAGAAGAAGAAGAAAAAAAAAAGAAAAAAAAAAAGTCTGATTCCACCGTCATCAGAAGCCTGGAACACTGGACACTGGCCAACAATTTGCCGTTACCCAAATGGTGTTCCAAGCCTGGGATGTCTTGGGCTGTACCCTGGTCAGTCATTTGCAGATTGCCTGCGTGGTCTTATGCCTTGTCAGGCAATTTGCAGATCACCCATGTGGCCAACGCCTTGTGCGGCAATTTGCAATCCTGCCGAACGATGTTACAATCCCGGGACGTCCCGGGCTGCCTCCCCAGTAGGGACTGCTCCGTGGGTGTGGAGTGCATCCTGAGTGAGCTGACCCGTGAATCTACAATGCTGTACAGCATGAAACACGGTCCCATGACTGTTCCTCTGAAATTGGACTATCTGCAGAGGACAAAGGAGCAAACACTGCCGTCTGGAAAAGGGAACAGCAACATCCTGTGGAGCTGGCACGGAGAAAGTCGGGCGGACAAAGAAGCCGGCTGCTGATTCCCGGACGGGCAATGATACAATACGCGCCATTCACGATACACGATAAGACGAGTCATGGCACAGCAAATTGGAGACGAGCATGTCTCCGGTAACAAAGGTGGAACAGTGGAAACACGAGAGTCTGTCTGCAAGCGAGATGGTGGAGATGGAGATGGTGAGGTGGAGCGCAGCCGTCTGCAGCCACACGCGGACACAGAGAAGAGAGGGATTGATTGGCCAAGGGTTTGAAACAAATGACATCAGTGTCTTCGAGGGTGTGGAGCTCTCTGCACTGGAACTGCAGCAGTGGGAACGGTGGTGGAGGAAACTGTGGCAGTGGAAACAGATGCAGTGAAAACTGCACCCGAGGAGACTGCAGCAGTTGGAACCACAGGTGTGTCCATACCAGATGAGCAAGCAGTGGTCGCAGCAGGACGAGAAGTCCGTGAGGGCAAGGAAGGAAGTGTGGATGATGCAGCCACCATCGCAAAATGTCAGAATAATAGAGAATATCATATATTGCACTAACAGCACTACAAGCAATACCAGAAAAGCATACCACTTTTCCCACAGACACATGGTACCTTTGTGAAGTGGGCGGCACATGGTAAAGCGGTACAGAGACAGAGGAAGTGGAGATGAAGTGGAGCACCTTTGTGAAAGAGAGAGGGACGCGGGTGCGTGGGTGGATGGGTGGGTGGGTGGGTGGGAGGGTAGGGGGCAGGGAGGGAGAAAGCAAATCGAAACAGAGAGAACAGAGGGAGAGGAACTCCCCCGTTACTTTTTCTTTATTTCTCTTACCTCTTCTTACTTCACTTTTTTACTGTTGTACAGTTTACTTTCGCTTCGTCCACTTTCCTTCTACTGTTTTACTTTTACTTCTCTACTTTTCCTTCAGCGCAAGGACCCCAAGGCCCTCGCAGCAGACTGCAAAGGACCTGGCCAGGCTGTCCAGGTCCTCGTAGGGTAAGGCCGAAACTGGAAGATTGCAGATGCAAGTGTCGGCCGACTGAAAGCAAGACCGTCCAAAGTATTTAAGGAAGGGCAATGGCTTGGTTCAACGGAGTTTGACGAACAGAATGACATGCATCCGCGGTGAGATGCACTAGCGGGAGGAAGCAGTACCTTCAGTCCACAGAGAAGGGCCAGCTATAGCTGGGCTGAAAGAGAATTATGCCACCAGGGTGATTGAGGTGCGCTGACCCGTGGCAGGGCAGCATACACTATCAGACCAGCAGCAGCCATGGCTGGGGAAGAAGGGCAGAGGCATAGCCGGTTGGGCACTGGGGAAGGACAGCACCATAGCAGGCTGCGCGCTGGGGAAGAAGGCTGGCTGGCGTCATAGCTGTGTGGTGCCAAGAAGGAAGAATGTTGTCCCAGACATAGAGGTCATCGAGGACTGGAAAACTGCGGAGAAGGAAAGAGTGGAGAGATATAATCACCTGATGGACGACAAGGAGCTCCAGCATGGCAGACTCTTCAACCGGTTATCAGCAGGAGTGACAGTGGCATGGCACTCTGCAGCCTGGCAAGGTGTAGTACTGGATGGAGTAGATGATAAAGTAGGCGGTTGCTTAGGCTGGTATGGAGACCAGCGCGAGCAGAGAAATCCTGTTGTTGCTGTAATTGACTGTCAGAGGGGAGAAAAAGGTGCTTCCATCTAGGCAGGGGTGTGGAGTGGTACATCTTCCAAAAGGAAGTAATCAATGCCGTCCACTCGGGCCTCCCAGCCATAATGGGGAGGAGCGTATGTGTATCCTTATTGTATTCATCATTGACTTGCCGGGGGAATAGGAACCGGACTGTTGCTCCCCAGAATTGTAGGAGCCAGAACCTTGAGGTTCTGAGTTTTGTTTAAAAAAAAGAAAAGAAAAAAAAAGGGTGCTTTCATCATCAAGAGACGTCAACAGTGTAAAGTCTTTTGCTCGTGAGGTCATGCTTTGCCCATTCTGCTAATCACCTGGTTGCCATGTGCATACTGGGCATGTGAGCGGTCATTTACTTTCAACTTTCGCACCTTACTTCTTTACTGTTTTACTGTTTTACTTTTTACTTCTTTATTGTTTTACTGTTTTTCTTTTTACTTCTTTACTGTTTTACTGTTTTACTTTTTACTTCTTTACTGTTTTTCTGTTTTACTTTTTTCGAGTTTTTTTCAACTTTTTTTCTGTTAGTTCTACTGTTTTACAGTTTTTTTTCCTTCTAAGAAAACCACATAACTGCAATTCTGCGAATGTCCAAGGCTAAACATAGCCTGATGTAGGTCCGCCGCAGGGACCTGGCAACTGTGTTGCTCGATCAGATCCTCCTCTGCTTCACTGTTTTACTTTACTTCTCTACTACTGGCGTGACAACCATGGGATATGGCGTGACAACCGGTCCACCATGGGTTGACCCATCCCAGTCCTCTCGAACTACGGTAAGCACGGCTTCTCTCAGTTCTCTTCCATTCAAATCACCAGCGGTAGAGAGGAACCGAACTGTCTCACAACGTTCTAATTGATATGTTGGCCACTAGTCCGCTCAAGCCTGTTGTTGCTCAGTATACATACACTAGTAGCACTCTATGTATCTCTACATAGCACGGACTCTTACCTTACTTCCTTTCAAGTGTTCTATTTTTCTATGAGTGCCTATGTTTGTGTAGTTGATGGGCAAGTGCCCATACACCCTCTGCTTTCTACGAGCACACTTGCACCCTACTAAGAAACAGGATACCTACCAAGGACAGGCAGGAGCAGCATGAGAAAATGTGTGTGAACCAAAGGTTAAGCGTTACAGCAGTATGGACTCCGACTGTAAGCACTTCGCACTCGGTAGGGACTCAGACTGTGAGCACTTCGCACTCGATAGGGACTCCGACTGTAAGCACTTCGCTCAAGAGTTGTATAGATAGAAACCCTTGTACCTCTTCCACACAGGCAAG